AGGAATTCTCACGAGGAATTCTCACACAAATAAAAGTTTAACTTAACAGTATTAAAATAATGAAACTAAACATAGTTTTAACATATAATAACTTTTAATAGTTTAATATAATATAGAAATAATTGCAAAGTTGTTAAATAAAACAAAATACTGATTCTCATTCCTATAAATAAGAAAACAAAAAAGCGAGGTTGAGTTGTTGATGCTACAGGCTTCACTAATTAAATTATTTCAATTAATTATTTCTCTATATCTCCAGTAGATATTATTCTCATTATGAAGAATTGATATTATATATGAATATATAATGTAAACATCATTAGAGATGTCATCTGTTTAAGAATTTGCAGCTAAACAAAAAAAATTCTGTGACTAAGGAAATAAAAAGACATTACAATTGCTGCAATTATGTCATTAAATGCTTTACTTCAAAAATTGTGAATAAAAAACATAGAAATTGGCTGAAGCAATGGTTAAAAAAATATCCAATCACTTGAAGAGTTTTTCAATTGAATTCGAAAAAGATCTGATAGGATCAACACAGTGACACATCAAGACAGTGCTACTTAATTGTGATTATAACCCTCTCTCAAATCTATGATTCCAAAGTACGAACCTTGATCAACAAAGCTGCTGCGGGGAGAAACAAGTTGAGCATGGTACTACCAGGGACAAGATCGTAATCAAACTCGGAGCCTGTCGCTTATGAAGAAAGAGTTCTGCCATTAGACTACTATCGCATATTGATACACCTGACTCATTTTTAATCAGTGAATTGATCATCTAATTAAAATGAAACATTGTCTGTTTGAGACATTAAGAGAGTTAAATATGCTCGATCTGATCAATAAGGTAAACTTTAATGTTTTGCAGATGTTGATGCCGATGTTGCAAATTGCCATGGAACCATGGCGATACTTATTACAGGCCTTCCCGTCGCGAATCCGTATTTTTGACTGGGGGCGGACAATCTTACGGAAAGATATATTTTAGTTTTTTTTAAAGTTCGATTTGTGAGTAATTGATTATTACAATAAATGGTTAAAAAGTGCTGTGTTCCTGAATGTAGAGGAAACTATGACGCTAAAAATAAAGTACGAGTTTTTAGGCTTCCCTCCAATAAAAAAGAAAGAAATCGTTGGATAAATTCAATTCCTAGAAGTAATTTTCCAAATAAACCAGATACTGTTGTCTGTGAAAGACATTTTCCAGAAAATTTTTTAACAACTATTGTCAATGGGAAAGTTAGACCAATTGAACCTCCTTCAATTTTTCCAAACATTCCAGCTAGTGTTGTACCAACTCAACCTTTAAAACCAAGGTCCACTACTAAAGTGTTGTCTTCTATCAGAACTGAAAAGTGTGATGAGTTGTCGCAATATTTAAAAAACGATTTGTTTACATTCATTTTTTTATGTGAAGATATTAAAAATCGTAAATTTATTTGTCCTGTAACTACTTTTGTTATAAATGATGTCTTGCACATCCAATCAAATTCCTTTTATGTTAACTGTATACCTATGTTTGCTGTTCATATCTCAAGCAATTTTAAATTTGAAAGTTTTCATGCTGGTGTTCGTTGTTTTATTTCTTCACTATCAAAAAATCGTATAGCATATCTTGATCGCTGGTCAAGAGTTGAAGAAACAATTCGCTTTTTGAACAACATTGAAATTGATCATCAAAAGTTAGTATTACAAGATCTTATTACATCTATGAATGCATCAGAAATAGGTACAAAAATTTATAATGTAGAAACTATAATCAGATCCTATTGTTATTTTTCAACGTCTCGATGCTTATACAATCAGGTACGAAAAGATTTTAAATTGCCAAGTGTAAAAACATTAACAAAAATTACATCTATGACAAAAAAAGTTTCAGACATTGACTTTATTAGTACCATTTTTTCAAATTTAGAGGAAAATCATAAAAATTGTATACTTATGGTGGATGAAGTTTATGTAAAGTCTCATCTTCTTTATCATGGTGGTTATCTTTTTGGAAAAGCAGAAAATAATCCAGAGTTGTTAGCAAATAGTGTTTTGGGTATTATGGTTAAATGTTTAAAAGGTGGACCATCTTTTATATGCAAAATGATACCTGTCTGTCGTTTGGATGCTTCTTTTTTGTTTGAGCAAGTATGCTATGTCATTAATTTGATTAAGTCTAGCAATGGAAATGTAATTTCAGTTATTTGTGATGGCAATCGAACAAATCAAGCTTTTTTTAAATTATTTGAGAGAGTTGAAGGAAAACCATGGTTAACAAAATGTGGAATTTTTCTCCTTTTTGATTATGTTCATCTGCTAAAAAATATTAGGAATAACTGGATTACAGAAAAAATGCAGGAATTACAATTTGAAAAAGACCAAAATTTGACTGCCAAGTGGAGTGACCTTAAATGTATCTTAGATTTTGAAAAAGATCAGTTAATTAAGTTATCAAGACTAAATTTTATAGCTATACATCCAAAACCCATTGAAAGACAAAAAGTATCACATTGTTTAAGAGTATTTTGCGACGAAACTATAGCTGCTCTCAAAACTTATTCAAAAGTTATCCACCCTTGCAATATGAATGAAACTATTTGTTTTTTAGAAAAAGTTACTAAATTTTGGAAAATTGTAAGTGTAAAAGAAATTTATGGTGATATGAAATTTTCAGATTCTCGTAAGAGAGTTATTTCTGAAGAATTAGACATAAATTTGCAGTACTTACTTGATTTTGGAGATATGGCATTTAAAATGAGTGGTGAACAAGGTCATAGAATGAAATCTTTAACTAAAGATACAGGTACTTCAATTTGGCATACATGTTATGGAGTTGTCGAGATGTGTAAATATTTGCTAAAAAACAATTTTGATTATGTTATGTTAGGAGAGTTTTCAACAGATTACATTGAAAAAGCATTCAGTAAGTTTAGGCAAGGTTCAGGTGGAACATTCTTTATAACAGTTCAAAATGTTGTTGAAAAGTTAAACATTGAAAAAGCTAAACTGTTATTGCAATTAAAAGTGGATGTTACAGATTATGCTATTGATATCGAGCATTCTTGTCAAAAATGTGGCTATTTTATAAGTGAAGAATCTTGTGACATCATTAATCAATTACCTGAACTAGAATCATCTTTGTCATTGAGTACAAAAATGGCTTTGTTTTATATTGCAGGTTATGCTACAAGAAAAGATGATGTTAGTGAAAATGATTTGTTTAATGATACTGCATTTTATTTTCAGTTATATGGAGACTATACAAAAACTATAGACCGCGGTGGATTGAATATACCTCTCGATTGCTGTGTGCAGTGGGTATTTTTTTGTTTCATTTTTTTTGAAATTGAGAAAAACAAAATGTGTAGAAAGTCATTGTGTAATACTTTCATGATGATATCTGATATTTATAACTTTAATATGTTAAAGAAACATGGTACAATATTATCAAACATATTTCTTAAAAATTATTGTTTGCTTTTTTCACCCAAGTCCAATAAAGAACCTGCATTGAAAGTTTTAAAGTTATCTGTATAACATTAAAAAATTATTATGTACATTTTTTTATAACATTATTGATGTATATTTTGATATTTTTTTCTTTTTAATTGATGTATATTATGTTTTTTTCCTTTTTGTTTTTTTGCATTTTATAGTTGGTTCATTTTTTTGTGATTTAGATTTTAAATAATTACTCATTATTCTGAAAAATATTGTATTTTATTCTTTTTTTCAAAAAGTTTTTTTTTATTTTAAATTTGAAGATTCTTAATAAACACTGCAATAGACATTTTTTGCATTAATACATTACTTTTTAAAATTTAGTAAACTAACTAAAAATAATGGATTAGTTCGCAAACTTTTCTAGCCATTTTTTATATTTTTCCGTAAGATTGTCCGCCCCCAGTCAAAAATACGGATTCGCGACGGGAAGGCCTGTAATAAGTATCGCCATGCATGGAACCAATCAAAATGTTGAGATAGTGAGTCATAAAAAATTCAACGCTTTTGACAGCTGTTACTATTATTAGTTTTATGCTTGAAAAACTTTCGAATTTAGATAAGAACATTGGAAAGGAGTTATGTAATAATCTCAAGAAGCAAACTGATGAGCGATAGAATACATCTACAGAAGATGAACTTACATAGATTTGCTATTTTCGAACACAACAAAAAGAACAAAAAATTATAAATTATATAATTAGCATAAATTGTAGGAGGCTCTCCTTACAATTTAAATGATGTACACACAGATTTATAGAGTTTTTTCAATTTCAACAAACTTTTGTGCAAAGATTCAACCGTGCTCTTTTTTTTTTAATCAGGTTCTTTTACTATTTTGTTGTAAATTCCATTAAAATCATGAAACAGTTTTTTAAAATGTAAAATAGAAAGAAGCTAAGTTCTGAAACTATTTTGAGAAACTCCAAGTTATCAGAAAAAAATGAAACTTATTGTTGAGAAAACAATTAGGCTTAACAAAAATAAAAAAAAAATTGGATAAGATATTTGTAAAAATGAAAATTTTTAAAAGCAATTAATTATTATGAAGGAATAGTTGAATCCTAAAAACACATTCGAAAAAGTTTTTAAGAGTTTTTTTTCCATTAGTTTTGTTGTTTATTTTATGAAACTGGATGATAAATTCATTTACGAATCGTCCATAAATTACCCAACGTAAAAAATATTTCAAGAACAGAAGTAGGAGATATAAAGCTCTTACGTGGCGATTTTCATTTAAATTAATTTCATATTTTAATTAATTATATAAATTAAGACTCTATGAGGGAAAACTTTTGATCTTTTTTTGTTTTGTTTATTGTGAAATTTTGAGTTACGTAATTTATGGATGATCTCTTAACTCTAAAAGTAATAGAACCTTAACTCTAAAAGTAATAGAAGTTAATAAAACTCTAAAGTAAAAAAAAAACTATAAAGTTAATAAAACTCTAATGATAAATAGTACAAGGAAAACTTAAAAATAAAAAAAAACAAAATAAAGGATACCTGCTCTCTATTTTTTGGTTTTGCTTTTTCCAAAGCTTTTGTTGCATTTTCTAACTCAACCAGTTTGCATGTACGTTGAAATAATGCACTCTAGTTACACAATAAAAAAAAAAAAGAAGGATAATGAATGTTTCAAATGATAGCAATAGAATATAAAAAGTTAAAATTTTAAAAATGCATGCAATAGTTATTGCGTGAAAAATAACAACAATCATTGAGGTGAATTATGGAAAAACAATGGTAATAAAAGAGAATATAAATGGAAAAAATAATAGTGATAAAGGAGATAGTGAAAATATTGGATATAATCAAGATGATAAAAATATGAATAATTAAAAGGTAATAGCAATGACTAAATTAAATAATAAAAAAGTAAAAATAACGAATAGTAAAACAATAACTTAAACAAATCAATTTTTGTTTTTAACTTAATGTTTTTTTTTCCAAATTAATGACTTTAAAAATTGGTCAGATAAATGAATGAGTTTAGAAAATCAGGATGAAGTATTAAAAAATGTTTAATTTACTTTGACAAAAGATCACTTATGATGAATAGGAAATGCAACATTTCATGTTGGTAGAACATTTAAATGATGAAATATTCTAATAACATAAAGCATGCAATACCAATTATAATACATTAGTACAAGTATTTGCTGTGTATATTTAATACCAAAATTTTTATTCATTATACTTCGATTATTTTTCTTTTATAAACAAAATTAAGTACTTTTAAAAATTAAAAAAAATTCTTTTTTTTTGGTATTAAGTTAATTTCTACACACTAAACTTAATTTACATTTTAAAGATATTTTTTTGTAAACCATAACAGGCTGTCAACTGGCTATAATTTTTTTGTAAACCATAACAGACTGTCAACTGGGGTTGACAGTCTGTTATGGTTTAGCATCGAAAAATTCTAAAATCAGTTCTCTATCAACATTTTTTCGACCAAAATCCTATTCATTTAAAATATATATAAAGTCTTATCATTTTATGTAGCTATTCCTTTTATGTGTTCTATTCCTAAGTGTTCCAAAAACTCTTATTCGCCTAGTTTTTTTCTTCAAACATCAGTTCTTTGGAATTTGCTCCCTTCGTCTTGTTATCCTGATTCATATAATTTGCAATTTTTGAAGTCGTATGATAACTACCAATGGCTGCCAATATGCCTCTTATTTCTCCACAAACATAAGCATATCTAATCAGCCTCTGATTTAATGCAGCATTTTTTTAAACATTACCAAATTCAATTCTTAAACTTCTTTTGTCCCAACTACTTGAGGTGCATGAAAATATATTTAGCACTGATCTTTTAACCACAATTAATAATACTATCAGTCTGTGCTTTACAGTTAAACTTGTGTGATTCGAACTCCTATAAATTAAACTCATGTAATTCAAAAGATCATTTAAATTGGACAAACCTTTAGTTTTCAGGGTTTACTATTTATAGTTGATTTGTAATTTGAACATATATTTTAGGACCACTTGAGGATCCAAATTACATGAGTTTATCTACATGAATTATCCATTTTAATTTTTTTAACAATAGCATCTATAAAAATATGTTTGTTTGAACTTACTATACTAATTGTTTTTATTTTGGCTAAGTTTAGTTTAGTCAAGGTTGACCAGGTTGGAGAAAAAGTTTATATAAAAATTTATATAAAAAGTATATAATATATATATATATATAAAATATATAAAAAATTAGTAAAAATTTATATAAAAGTTATAAAAAGTATTATAATTAAAAATCATAAACCTAACAAAAATAATTTTTCAATTATTCAAGCATGTGTAAAATATAAGTATAAAGGAACCAAAACGTATAAAGGAAATATAAGTATGAACCTGGCACGATGATAGGTATCTGCTATATAACTCCAATGAAAAACCTGCTGTCTCTTCTGTGATTAAACGTGTTTTCTGACCTTTAAGCTTTTAAAAAAGAAAAATTATAAATAATAAGAACTATTATGAATATTACAAAAAATAATATAGAATATAAAAATGTATTTTAAAAATTTATTTTAATAAAATGATGCAGTTGCAAACTGTTGCAATTTATGTAGTTCCATATTTAATATAATATAACAATTAAATATATACCTAAGTTACACAAGTTACACAGTAACTAAGTTACACAAACTGCAACAAAAAAAATTAAAATAATATACTTCTAATTAAACTAATTTACATATAACAAAATAATATATACATAATAAAAATATAAGAAAAAAATTGAATAAAAAAAAGAAAAACTAAATCTTTCTAATAAAATTCAAGTTTTTTTTTTTTTAGCTTATAATTAAAATTGTTTTTTATTATAATTTATACAGGATAGTACTTTAATAATAAGTACAATAAAGTTTAATGTTCAGTAGATGCAGCAGTGTATTTATATTTAGCATACTTGTGTTGTTATTTTGCACAGATAACACTGATTAAATGGTGCTTTAATTTTTTCTAGAAAAAAACTGGGTACAACATACAGATGTTTTGTTTTCCAACATTTCAGATAATTAAACTAATCAATTTTAGCACAAAAGCAACAATGATATTGCAACTGCGCTCAAAAGAGCAATTAAAAGAGCAAGGTTCAATTCACTGTGATCCATAGTTTTAAACTACTACATAATCACAGTTATTTAGATAAATAAGAATCATTTGATTATAAATTGCAATCATTAAAAAGATAAACTACTGTGATTAAATAGATAAAAATCATACAAGAAATAAAATAATCTGAGTAAAGAGAAATAATACACTTAATAAAGTTAAATTTAACTCAATACGCTAAAAAATACACTTAATAAAGTTAAATTTAACTCAATACACTAAAAATTATAAAGTTAATTAAGAAATTTTATTTCTTTAACAGTCTAACGCTTGCATTTTTTTCAAAATTCAACGTAAATTTTTAAAAATTTTAAGTTTTAATGCAGTCATGCAGATCAAAGATTAAAGTCATTGGCAACATATTTTTGAACTGTATGGGTACAAGCATTCATAAAAGAATAAAAACTCAACTTATAACCATTTTCTAAATATAACTTGGTCAAATGGCTATATACAATCAATATATGGAAATGAAAATTTGATTGTAAATAAATTTAATGAGATTCTCAGCAACAAATATCTTATTAAGCATGTATTGATCCTAACTATTTAGAACAACACAAATGCGGATAACACTTTTGATTTAACTTAGACTTAGATGAAAATCGAATTTATCAGTTAGAATCAAAACTTGCTCTTGGAATATGCATCCAAAGTCATCTACCATTAAAATTCAAAATTTAAATTTGCATATTGGAAAACCAAACCTTAAATTTGCATATTAGAAAACCAATTTGCAAAACTTAAATTTGCATATTAGAAAACCAATATCTATGAAATTACTGGTTTTTGGTGCACTTTAGGCTAGTAAAGGTATTTCAAAAATAAATCGACTTAACTATCTTAATATTCTAGGAAATACATAGTTTATGTAGCTAGAAATAAATATGAAAACTAAATTATCATTAGGTCTATGAAAAATCCAAAAGTGTTATTTCAATTCATATACAGCGAACTGTAAAGAGTTTTATTAAAGCCTTAATGAAAAACAATAGCTTTGTAACAAATGACTTGAAAGAAATAGTAGGTATTTTAAATGACTAAGAAATAAAATATTTTAAATGACTAACTTAATGAATATTTTTTTCTTGAAGAACAAGGAGAACTTCCAGATTTTAATTTAAGAAATAATGAAAAATGTTTGGATATTGAGCATCTTAGTATTTTTTATAATGAAGTCTACAAAAGAATAAAAAAACTCAATCCAGATTGATGTGCAATAATATACAACCATGTCTTCTTAAAAACTGTGCGGATGGCCTAACAATACATTTTTTTTCAAATCATTAGAGTACAGTTATTCAATAGAGATAGGCTGACGTTACTCCGATTTTTTATAATATATATACTATGTTCTATATTTTTCTATATTTATATACTATTTTCTGGAAACTAAAATAGAAGACAACGAGTTGTGCAAGATAAAGTAGTCTCTGAGAGATTTTGTAATTTAGTGCCACAAGGATCGGTAATTGGGCTGATTTTGTTTGTAATATTCATTAATGACCCAGCAGAACAACTTGACTGAACTTGAAATATTATGTATATAATACAAACTTAATTAGTCAGGTCAAAAACATGATGCTGAGTTATTGCAATTAGATTTAAATAAAGCTGTTGAATGGTCAAAGGTGTGGCTTGTTAAATTAAAAGCTGATAAATGTGTAGTTATGCATTTAGGTAAAACAAATATTAAGTATAAATACTCTATGGACAGAAAATCACTCAGAAAAACAAACTTAGAAAGTGATCTTGGATTTTTATTTTCTTTAAACTTGAAACTTGAAACAGAAAAATCATAAAATAACCTTTAACTCAAAAGGAAATAGAATGATGGGTTTGTTGAAAAGTATTATATACAACATTTGTTTGACCCCTTTTAGAACTTGCAGTGCATGTTTGGTCTCCTTACTTCAAAGGTGAAATTGAAGCCTTAGAAAGAGTGCAACATCACTCTACTAGAATTGTTCCTTTGTTGAGGAATTTAAATATAACTTATAATATAAATAATAATATAAATAGTCATTATCAATTTAAAAGCTATAAAATTTTATTGTCAGAACTTTACATTGCTTTTTTTGTTGGAAAAATAACTGACAAAGTATTTTGTCAAAATCTTATCTAAGCCTCAGTCGCATGATCAATTGCCGAATTTTAGTGTGGTCACATTTATAAACAAATGTTTCATTTACAAACAAAATATTCTTGAGAACTGAAAGGGTTAAAAGACAATTAGAAAAAAAAACTAGAAAAAAGAAAGTAATCTTAATAACAAAAAAAAAAAAAAATTTGAAAAAATAAAACTTAACTAAAACAAAACAAAGCTTGAAAAAAATATAAAAAAATATAACTGTATGAAAGAAATTAGATTACATTTACAATTATGTTTGGAATTAATAATTAGTTAAATTACATAATAAATAAAAAAAAAAACAATTTTTTTAAAAAACCATTTCATGATTTGTTTTGTTAACAAAACTATAAATATATTTTAAACAATTTTTCATATCAAGATTAAGACAAAAATTAACCTATTAAACCATTAAGTTGCGATGGAAGTATTAAAATGTACTCTTCTCAAAAATTTAACATGCCATAATCAAGTCGCCACAACAAAATATTATAAAAGTAGTCAACAAATTGCATTATGCTGAATTATCAACAATAATTATGAGTGTTCAGATATTTTTTGCCATAACAATGTGAATGTAATATAAACAACAAAAATAAACATAATGAATGTATTTTTATTACATAATGAATGTATTTTTATTACATTTCGTGGACCATTTTTATGGAATAGTATAATTCTAAATACTTTTAAAGATATTTCTCAAGAATGTAATTTTGATTCTTTTAAACAATTTCTTAAAAAACTCATTTTTTCAACTGAAAATATACTAATCTACTTTAAAATTTTTGAAATTTTCTAATCTAAATTAGTATATGTATTTTATTTAATGTATAATCTTTTTTATTTCTTTATTAATTATTTTATCAACAAACAATTGTTTAACATGTTTAATCTAGTGAATTATTTGACATGTTTTAGTTTTTAAGTTTATAATATTAAATTACTTTTTATTATTTTGTAATAAAAAGAAATTGAACAAAATTATTTAAGTAACCAGAAAAAAAACATTGAAAATAATAATAATAATAATAATAAAAATAATTTTGGAGGTGAACCATCCTTTGGCAGTGGCTAGGCATTTTTGTCGTTAGAAGAGTAAATGGTAATCTATATATTTGGCTGTGGCTAAGCCAAATATTTAGATTACCATTTACTTTGCTGTCAGAAACATAAATGAAAATTTGGTAATTTGGCTAAACACGATAACCTGCGATAACCATTGAATCTAGGACCTTTTGCACAACCTTTTGAACGATCTGGAAATGTACTTTAATCAATCTGGAAATGTGATTACATTGATTTTATACAGTAATATATAGTGAATAATATGCAATTAATAAGTTTCAGTGATTATTTTTTAACAAATTAAATTCAGTGCGCGCAAGAGATTTATTTCGAAAATTATGAACATTATTATTCGCATGAGTCAGCTGTTCGGAAGACACAGTAATTTGATTGATGCAAGGCGTAAACACAACAACAAAAGGAAAAACCATAAAAAAAACAACAACAACAAAAAAAAGGTTCTAGTTTCTTCAATAGCGCAGTTTCCCTGTGACAAGACCTTATGGTCTTCTTTGAGTATCCGCGTATATTATACTTTATTTCTTAACGATATCTTGACTAGTTATCTTTTACTTTTTTATATTATTTGTAACATATGTATCATAAATATTGTAATAAATAAAAAAATAAAAAAATTAAAAATAATAACAGAATACATTAAATGTAATAAACATATATACTCTTTATGTGTAGAAGAGTTTGAAATAAATTTGCTTCTTTTGCTTCTTTATTTTATACATTATTTTACTATATTTCATACTTTGATAATATATAAAATAAATTTTTTTTTTTCATTTTTTTTTTTAACATCTTCACTTCCAACAAGGCTGCAAGCAACCACTATTTGAGTTGGAACTGGAAAAGAAAAGTTTAAAGAGTAAAATAACGATTCAGGAAAGCAAGATGAAGGAAAAGGTGAAAGCCAAAGAACTAATATTCAAGGAAAAAGTTAGATGAATAAGAGTTTGTGGAGCACTTAGGAATAGCCACAGAAAAAAGATGAGACTTTAATGAATGACAAGTAACACAAGAATGAATTTTTGATGTAGGTGGCATATGAAACACTAGCTCTTTATAGCAGTGCCCATTATAGTATTTGTAGAAAAGAGAAAGAGAAGAAACATTACAACAATGTGATAATGGTTGGAGGTTAACTGCAAAAGCAGGTCCAACTATGTTAACAATGCGTTTTTTCACTTTGTCTAAAAAAGAAAGGGCATCATTGGAAGATCCGCCCCTGATATGGCAACAGTATTTCGTATAAGGATGGATTTGAGATTTATAGAGATAAAGAAAAGAGTCTGGAGTAAGAAAGGGTTAAGCACGATAAAGAGATGCAACTTTAGCAAATAATAGTTTTGTAATGGATTTGATGCATGGTTTTCAAGAAAGATAGGAAGTAAGATTTATTCCTAGAAGATGAAGGGTAGATGACTCATTGAGTACATAACCAATCATAAATATAGGAAGATCTAAATTATTGCGATATTATATATATTACTTTAATTTTAATTTAAATGATAAAAATTCTTTAAAATGCTAAATCATTTTTCAAAATTTATAAAAAGCATCAACTACTTACAACAAGTTCATCAAGAACATCAGCAAATTGACCAATGAAGCTAAAAATTTGAATGTATATAATTTAAATTAAAAGTTATAAAAAATAAATGATAAAGATAAACAATAAATGAATAAAAAATATAATATAAATTTAATGTAAAGATAAATACGATAATAAATATTAAAAAACAATAAATAAATAACACAAAAATAATAAAAATGAAAAAACAAAACAATAAAAACTTTTATACCGAACAACTATTTTTGAACCTTGAATATCGTAAGTTGCAGAATTACGTAACACCATTGCCAAATTAGAAATATGCACACCTAATGCTAAACAATGATAAATTTTTCAAATCCTTTTATTTATTGATTAAAAAATTGTTATACAAACAATAATTATAGTTTAATTTCTATATTATTCTACTTTCGATTAGAAAGTTCAAAAAAATAAAAGTTGAAAAATATCAAATAATATGTTTTAAAGAAAATCGTTTGAATAAAATCTTAATAAAATCAAAGAAATATTTGAAAAGTTATTGTGTACGTGACACAGATACGCAAAAAATAAAACATTATAAAGAAAATTTTGATAAACAATACATTCTCTGATTGACTCATTAATAAAAATGAAAAAGTATAAAAATAAATAAATAAATAAAAACATTTATTTTTAAAACTATGGACATATCTTCAAAAGAATCAACTTCTAATAATTAAATTATCAGAAGTTGTAAAAGATCAGAAGAAAAAAGCACCTCAACCACCATAAACACCCAAAAACAGTTTAATATTAAAAAAATTTAATTCCAAATTTTTAATTTTGTGTTCCGCAAAAAGACCTCACATTTTTCATTGTTTTTCCTATTTTTATTGATATATTAAATTAAATTTTTTTCCTATTTTATTTGTTGTATAAAGATAGTAAAATAAAAAATATGGAACAAAAATTAGAAAAATATTCATTTAGAATTAAAATACATCAAAAAAAACTACATGCTATATTTTGTGATAGACTAAGCTAAAAAAATATTAAGTTCTGTATCTGAATTGCTAACTTTACAATCACTATATTTAGATTGATTATTTTGCCAAACAGCAGCTATATTTAGATTGATTATTTTGCCAAACAGCAGCTATATTTAGATTGATTATTTTGCCAAACAGCAGCTATATTTAGATTGATTATTTTGCCAAACAGCAGCTCTATTTAGATTTTTTATTTTGCCAAACAGCAGCTATATTTAGATTCATTATTTTGTCAAACAGCAGCTATATTTAGATTCATTATTTTGCCAAATATCATCAACACTCACTATCTCTTTATGAAAAACTTTTTAAACATTCTAAAAAAACTGTAAACTTAGTAAACAGAGTTTTAAAGTTTGCGTATTATGACCAAAATTTGAAGCCAAACATTTTGTTTTAAAATTACAATGACGAGATATAGAAATAATTTAAATAACAGAGAAAAAAATACAAGTAGTTTTTTGCAGTCCAATTCAAGGTATTGTGTAAAAAAAACAACAACTTGTTTTATCTAAATATTTCTAGTTTTTAAAACCTGGAAGCATTTTTATCTGGCTTTTTAATTTAAAAATAAAGTAAATTAAAGCTAAAAGATAATTTGAAAAGACCAAATAATATTAGAAAAAATATATTATTTAAAAAATTATTAAAAAGCATAAATTTTAAAAACCTTTCTCAGATGAAATCATTTTATCCTTCATCTAAAAAGAAAATAAAAAATGTTAAACAATTTATATTATTAAAATAATTTATTCTTTTCTTCAAGTAAAATTACTGAATTTACAATTTACATGTATGTAGCATTATCATGAATAAAATAACTTAATACATATACTAATAATATAATATACTACTTTATATTATGAAGTTTTATAAATGAAATATTATGTTAAAAGTTTAAGTTAATTATAAGATTTTTGCCATTTAATAATTGAAAAAAATGTAAAATCTTAAATTTTTAATAAAATTATCCAAATAAAGGAATAAATCTAAAAACCAAAAATGAAAATTTTTTTTCTACCTAATAAAAGTCAATCATGTATACAAAGATATTACTTTAAAATGATGACTTAATAGAAAAATAAAGTCTGGTACTTAAAAAACTTACATAGTTACATTGTTTGACATGAAGAAGCAAGGCATTAACATTGTCTCTCTTTTTTTGAAAATCTTCATCGATGTCCTAAAAATTTGATGTACAAATATGTAACTATAAAAATAATATTTATGTGCATTATAAAAAAAAATCTAAAAAAAACAAAAGACTGGAACTAACTGGAACAACTATTACTTATATCTTAATATCTTAGCTTTGGCTAAAAACTCAAAACATCAAAGAAGATTTCTGAACTTAATTAACAAGATTTACTGCTAAAGTTGACTGACTAACAATAATATTTAAATAAAATACATAAATAGTAACAAAAAAATAATGTAATTATTTACCAAATCTTATAAAATAAAGTAATAAAGTACAAAACCAAAATTGAAGAAAATTTTAATAGAAAAAAAAAAGAATGAATATATATATATATATATATATATATATATATATATATATATATATATATATATATATATATATATATATATATATATATATATATATATATATATATATATATATATATATATATATAGTCTTGCATGGTAGTCACAAAGTTTTCACCATAAACTGTTGTTTTAAAGAGCGTGTTAATAAGCCTGACCAGAAAATGTTAAAAAACTACAAAAATTTTTTTAAAATGATAAACTGCCTGGCCAAACCAAACCCTCAGTTGATGTAGCAGCCCTCCCTTGCGAGTCAGGCTATTTGTCAGTCGATGTAGCAGCCCTCCCTTGCGAGTCAGGCTATTTGTCAGTCGATGTAGCAGCCCTCCCTTGCGAGTCAGGCTATTTGTCAGTCGATGTAGCAGCACTACCTTGCGAGTCAGGCTATTTGTCAGTCGATGTAACAGCACTCCGTTGCGAGTCAGGCTATAAGATAGTCGATGTAGCAACACTCCCTTGTAGCAGCAGGCTATAAAATATAGTCGATGTAGCAATGCTTACGCATGTTTTAAAAATGTTTTTTAATAAAACAAAAACACCACTTATTAAAAAAAACTTTCTAATCATTATTATTGCGATTTTTTTAAAAAACAATAAAATTTAATGTACTTCCGCATTAATTTAATTGCTTTGACTTTTCGACGACATCAAAATGCAGCTTAAGAGACGAGGTAAAAAAATTGTAGTCGACTTTTAAGAGTTAAAAATTAAGAGACTTTTTTTACCATAAAAGCCTCCTTCGTTTACACTATAAGGATATATTTATATATATATATATATATATATATATATATATATATATATATATATATATATATATATATATATATATATATATATATATATATATATATATATATATATATATATATATATATATATATATATATGTATGTATATATATATATATATATATATATATATATATATATATATATATATATATATATATATATAAATATATATATATGTATATATATATATATATATATATATATATATATATATATATATATATATATATATATATATATAACATTTAGCGTGTATAATATGATTTTTCTTTCATAAAAAACCCCATCTAAAACAATAATATTCTAATAATAAATTTTTTAAAACTAAATCCAAATATGTTAATACACCTATTTATTTTTTTTTCAAATTTAAAACATAAGTAGAAAAAAAAAATTCATATTTTATACATTAGAATTTAATCTTAAACTCAAGCAAGAGGTTTAAAAGTAAACCATAAATTGAAAAAAAAATTTACTTTATGTGCTTGGAATCTTGCAGTATCCACTAAATTTGCTAATGAGTTCATCACACCTCGCTTAATAGCAACACGAGCAACAGCCTAATTAAAGAATCCACAAAATTTAGTACACAACTACAAAAAAATACATTAAAAAAAGAGAAAAAAAATCAGCAATTAAAATGCAGGTTACTTGACTTACAGTTAGAGAAATAAGTATCCAATTAAAACATTTTATTATAGAAAATAAACATTGTCAGGGTACTTCAAAAATAAATAACTTTATAAAAATAAAAATTGATTATTCTAAATAAAAATTTAATTACGAATTCAATGTGCAAAAAAAAAATATCAATAATAATTTTTAATTGATAAAAAATCAAGATACATTTAAACTATGCAATTTTTTAGCATTAAATAAGTATCCATACAAAATTTTAAAGATTAAGGCTTAAAAAATAACGCTTCTTCAAGTAATTATTTTAACTTTTTAATATCGAATTCGACTGCCTTTAGCTTTTATGACTTCTGCAAGTTGACATGGCATCGATTCAACTAATTTCTTTGTCGTATCTAAATCGATATCAGTCTAAGCTTCTTGGAGCATGATCTTAAGCTCTTATTTTCTTTTTAAACATCGTGTACCACATTTTTTATCCAGAATAGCCCAGAGATGTCCCATTGGATTGAGATCTGGACTTTGCGCTGGCAATTCAAGTAACTCAATTTGCTTTTGGATAAAAAACTCTATTGCCTTCGTTGAAGTATGTTTAGGGTCATTTTTTTGTTGGAAGATAAAATGTTTTCCTAATTGCAGTTTTTTAGTTGAAGCCAGAAAATTTTTAATGAGAATGTTAACATAAACCTCAGAGTCTATAATTCCATCAATAAACTCCAGTTTTCCTGTTCTGTTCCAAGCCATCGATACCCATACCATAACATTGCCTCCACTAAATTTTACTGTGCCTCAAATACAGCTGAGTGTGAATGCTTCACCTTTTTTTCTCCATACTTTTTGAGCTCCATCAGACTTTACAAGATTAAATTTTGACTCGTCTGTCCACAAAACGTTCCTCCAGAATGATACAAGCATATTTACATATTTTTTAGCAAATGCAAGTCTTTTTTTTTTATGGATTTTTGAAACGAATGGTTTCTAGCATTGAACTCTTGCTTTGAATCCACTTTCTTTTAATCCATTTCGAATAGTATATGAGCTCATTTGTAACCCAAAATCTTTCTCAAAGATGCTTGACACTTTTGGTGCTTTTAAAAAGCTGTTTTTTTGTACCATCTTGACAATTTGTCGATCTATTCTTTTGTTGTTTTACGCTTAGCTCCGGATCTTGGCTGATTAAACATATTATACTTTATAACATATTATAAACATAAACAAATAATACTTTTATAAACATATTATATAAACATATTAAGATTGCGGATGGTTTCTAATGCCATTCAAGTCACTTTATTTATTGACCTAAATGTTTTACCTTGCTTAAACAAGTAAATCACTAAATTGCGCTGAGCTTGGGACCATTCCTCGATTTTAACTCCCATACTTAATGATATCAATGGTTAATCAAATGAATTTAAAGAAATATAAGTCAATCATAAAAAATTACTCGCTGTAAAACAACAATATTTCTAAAACTATTAATTTAAAGACTTTTTTAAATAATTAATTTCAAAACATCGTTTACAAAACAACATTTTCGGATAATTATTTTTCGTTGAAGTTTTAACACTCCTATGGGAATCATTAAATTTTAGCGACGTAAGTTAATTACCCTTGGTTGATTTTTTGTTATATAAAATCCTAATTAAATTTGCTTTTAGAATAATTATAAAAGTATTTATCAAAAACATATGTTTTTCTAAAATATCCTGAGAAAGTTTATTTTTTACAATAAAATGTTATATGCATATATATATATATATATATATATATATATATATATATATATATATTATTTTTTATTTATACACTTTGAGAGAGCTCCGGTTTCGCCATGTACCTTTTGAGAGAGCTCTTGCACTCATTTACTCCCTGCAAGTCCTGTATATTATATATATATATATATATATATATATATATATATATATATATATATATATATATATATATATATATATATATATATATATATATATATATATATATATATATATATATATATATATAAATATATATATATATATATATATATATATATATATATATATATATATATATATATATATATATATATATATATATACATATATATATATATATATATATATATATATATATATATATATATATATATACACACTTACTAAAGCGCATTTTTATAAGCATTTGCTCACTTTTTTTGCTTACCTTAATTCATACGGCTTTTTTCGAAAAAGAAGAAAAAAAACGAAGAATGATGAATGAAACGATTGCTGCCCCATCCCAAACCCTCAGTCGATGTAGCAGCACTCCACTGCAAGTCAGGCTATTTGTCAGTCAATGTATGTACTGAAGCCCCCAGCAGCAGGCTATTTCAGTATGACGTCAGATTGCTTACCTTAGTACGCAATACTATTTGTGTATATATATATATATACACTTACTAAAACGTGTTTTGATAAGCATTTGCTCACTTTTTCTGTTTACCTTAAGCTATACCAGTTTTTTCAAAAAAGAAGAAAAAACGAAGAATGATGAATGAAACGATTGCTTCCCCATCCCAAACCCTCAGTCGATGTAGCAGCACTCCACTGCGAGTCAGGCAATTTGTCAGTCAATGTATGTACTGAAGCCCCCAGCAGCAGGCTTTTTCAGTATGAGGTCAGATTGCTTACAATAGTATGCAAAACTATTTGTATATATATATATACATATATATATATATATATATACATATATATATATATATATACATATATATATATATATATACATATATATATATATATATATATATATATATATATATATATATATATATATATATATATATATATATATATATATATATATATGTATATATATATATATATATATATATATATATATATATATATATATATATATATATATATATATATATATATATATATATATATATATATATATATATATATATATATATATATATATATATATATCAGGGTGCGACAAATCTTTATATTTTATTTTACATTGATGTTCGTATCTTTATTTATTGTCAATCGCCTATGTTAAGAGGTTTATGTCAAATAAGCCAATTTTATTGTTATTTCATTTAATTTTTAATTTTTTTCATTCAAATAATTTTTCATTAAATTATAAGGGACTTTTATTTTCAAACAACTTTAATTCTAGTTAATAGATATATCAAAGATGCTTATTGAATTCATCAATTTTTTAATAATTCAAAACAAATTTCCACGCTTTTGCAAAGTGCGCGCAAATTAATTAAAAATAATTAATATGCAATAACCTTATGACTGTAAACTTTTTTTCATTAATACAAAAAAGTGAATTTCTATCAATTTAGTTTGTGAAATTTATTTACTTGAAGAAATTAGATAAAAGAGAACTAAAAATAAAATAAAAGCTGTTTTGACATTTCTTGTTTCAAACCTTTAAAAATAATAATATATTATTAAGTATTTAATAAGTTTAATAACTTATTTTATTAATAAATACTAAATATGATATTAAAATAATATCATATTAAGTATTTATTTTTATTAAGTACTAATTAAAATTATATTATTATAATTATATCATTTGGTATTTAGGTAATAATAAAAATATCATACTATTGGTGTTGTTAAACACACAATAAAAAATGAAAACTACAATAAACATAATAGTTCAATATATTCTATTAAATTTTATATATTTCAGCAAAACTTAAAAAATCTTTCTAGGACTTTTAAAAGTGTTTATAATAAGCAAACAACATTACTTCACTTTAACAATAATAAAAAAATTAAAAAAAAACGAACTTTTAAAGAAAGTGATGTTTTAGCATGGTTTCTTTTAAAGTAATTACAAATGCATCTATTTAAACTAAAATTATTGATATTTTTGTAAACGCATGTAAAACCCATGCTAAAACAAAATTCTTCAGTAGTGTACTTAATTACGTAACTTAAAAGTAAGTAAAAAAAAAGAGAAAATTTAACTTAAAAGTAATTAAGGAAAGTAATCATGCTTAATCATGTTTAATTGTGGTTTTTTTTCGAAAAAACATTTTAAATTTTAGTAGCTAATTTCATTTTTATTATAAATATGTGTTTTTTATTATAAATATGTTTTTTTTTATAAATAAAAAACTATTCATCACATAATTTATGGAAATCAATCGCATATTTTTGGAAAAAAAATTGCTGATGTAATGCATTTAATTTAAAAAATTTTAAGCAAACACCAACATAAGTAAAAGTAAAGAGACGTGACGTTTGTTTTTTTTGTCTTTTTTTTAACAAACGTTTATACTTTCGCCAATTTGTTGCTCCCTATATATATACATATATATACATAGAACAGAGCAATAATAATTTAGTAAAAACAATTATCTAATTTTAGTGCTCTTCAACAGCATGTTTTACCATCAGTAAGTTTCAACAGGAAGCCCTGATGAACCTACTGATGGTGAAAGAAGCAACCTAATGATGGTGAAACAACTAGATAAATTAGAATTATTGGAGCACTTTGGAACAATGACAGTAAAAAGATGAGACTTATTTGAGTGACGAGTAACAAGAAAATGAATTTTAGTAGATAGCACAAGAGAAACTAACACTTTAGAGCAGTGCCCATCATAATATTTATAGAAAAGAGAAAGATGAGCACAACAATGTGACAATGGTTGAAGGTTGGCTGCAAGAGCAGGTCCAACTATGTTTACAATACATCTTTGCACCTTGTCTAAAAGAGAAAGGGCATCGTTTGAAGATCCGCTCCAGATATGGCATTAGTATTCCATACAAGGACTGATAAGAGATTTATACAGTTAAAGAATAGAATCCGCAATAAGAAAGTGCTGAGTGCAATAAAAAGATGCAACCTTAGCAGATCTTTGCAATAGATTTGATTTTTTGAGAATTAGATTTTTTTTTTAAGAAAAATCAGAAGCAAAAGCTAATCCTAGAAGACAAAGGGTAGATAATTCATTAAGTACATTACCGTTCATAACTATAGGAAGATGTAGATTGCTGCAACAATGATTAGCTGAAAAAAATTGAGTTTATCATAGTTAAGGGTTCACCAGCCACTGAGAGCTCCATGCTGTAGCAAAAGTAAGATCCTTTTTAAGCTCAAATTTTTAAGCTCAAATGCCTCCTTCAAGCAATCAGCGAGTGTTTGGTTCTTATCAAGATGATAAACAATAATAATTAGCTGAAAAAAAGTTTTACCTAAGCTTAAGTTCACAAGCCAATGAGAACCCCATTTTCTGAGGGAAAACAGATGCCATTTTCCAGCAGGCTGGAAAACAAGACTCTAATAGGCACCTTACTGGTCTTTTTAAAAGGCATAAAAGATTCATTATAGTCTAGCAGGTTGTTGCTATCTGTAAACAAGAAACTTTAAACTTTATATCTTGTGCCCACATTTTTGTTATCTCATGTTTCTAATGTATGCATTTTTTCTAGAGCCATTGTCTAAAATTGAAGCATAGAGTTGACACTGAATGCTGAGCTCTATTAATATTTAGATGCACTGAGTTCTATTAATAATTTTAAGATGCAATGAGCTTTATTAATAATGTTAAGATGCACTGCAAAAAACAAATCATACAAAATATTATGTTTTTTTTTATTATAATCGTCTGTTTCAACAAGGTAATTGAAAAATGTTTTTGTACATTAGAACTAAAATCTTACTTAATGAAAATAAAACTTACCATTTGACTGTTACAGCATATAAAGTTTTCTTAAATTTAAGTACTAAAATTAAGTACTTTCATCAGTTGCTTTAAAGTCAAAAACTCCACACTAATTGCATAGGCACATTTTTTTTTTCCTTGCACAAATCGCAAATTAAAACCTCCTTTAATTTGTGATTTTGCAAGAATTAAAATATTATCAATTTGAAAATAACATAATGAAATTTTTTGATATGTAAAATTTAAAAATTCTATTATTAATAATTGCCGGAAACCTTCTTTATAATAAAGTTTAACTAAAATGAATTTTTGACTTGAAGTTGTAAAAAATGATAATGATTTTATTTTTTCGAACTTTGAACTTAATTTTTTTTTTTGAAATCTTAATAAACAGGATACAAAAAAAAATAAATTGTAAACTAACAAAATAGGTGTTTGTATTAGCAAAAAAATTGAGCGAATTGAACGATCAAACTAGTAAAATTGAAAATACAAATTTTTTAGACTACACTTTCGTCCTTAAAATAAAATAAAATATTCAATGTGTTTCAGCAAAATGGCATCAAAAAAACAACACTTGTCTTTCCATCAACTAAGTCAAATTAGAGAAAATCCTTCTGTAAGATCCAAAAAGAAAAAGAAACACCTTTAAGACAGTGTCCTTAATTTACGACAGTGTCCTAAATTTACGACAGTGTCCTAAATTGTTAAGAAGCATGATCTGATTGTAACCACTAGTGTGGCTGGTAGAGGTTGAAAACACACGACCACAGTGCAATCGATTGCAATATCATCATTAATGTGATGTAAAATAGATTTGTTTTGGCAGTTAAACTTTAAAAGTTCAAGAAGACCACAATAACACTTGAATCCTCAAACAATCAGAAACCACATTAGAAAACATCAGAAACCGCATTAGAAAACATCAGAAACCACATTAGAAAACATCAGAAACCGCATTAGAAAACATCAGAAACCACATTAGAAAACATCAGAAACAACATTAGAAAACATCAGAAACCGCATTAGAAAACATCAGAAACCGCATTAGAAAACATCAGAAACCACATTAGAAAACATCAGAAACCACATTAGAAAACATCAGAAACCGCATTAGAAAACATCAGAAACCGCATTAGAAAACATCAGAAACCGCATTAGAAAACATCAGAAACCGCATTAGAAAACATCAGAAACCACATTAGAAAACATCAGAAACCGCATTAGAAAACATCAGAAACCGCATTAGAAAACATCAGAAACAGCATTAGAAAACATCAGAAACCGCATTAGAAAACATCAGAAACCGCATTAGAAAATATCAGAAACCGCATTAGAAAACATCAGAAACCGCATTAGAAAACATCAGAAACCGCATTAGAAAACATCAGAAACCGCATTAGAAAACATCAGAAACCGCATTAGAAAATATCAGAAACCGCATTAGAAAACATCAGAAACCGCATTAGAAAACATCAGAAACCGCATTAGAAAACATCAGAAACCGCATTAGAAAATATCAGAAACCGCATTAGAAAACATCAGAAACCGCATTAGAAAACATCAGAAACCGCATTAGAAAACATCAGAAACCGCATTAGAAAACATCAGAAACCGCATTAGAAAACATCAGAAACCGCATTAGAAAACAAGGTTATAGAGGTAGAGCAGTTGGAAAAAAACCTTTTTTAACTCCAAAACAAATAAAACGTTGATTGGAATTTGCAAAAAAAAAAAATGAAAAAGTGTCAATATTATATTGGAAAAAAAATTTGGAGTCAGATGTTTTTTTCACATTATGATAGGGTCAGGGTAACAACATCAGATTTTTCAATGTCTAATAACATCTGTCCAACAACATCTGACATTTCATTGATGTCTAATAACATCTGTGTAAAAAGTATATGAGTACTAAAATTTTTATAATTAAGGTTTAAATAATTACAACAAATTGTGATTAAATTCTTAATTAAATAACAATAAATAACAATAAATAGTATAACAATTATAATATTATGAAAAGTATGTGAAATGAAAAAAAAGGGTAAAGTATTTTTTCATGTATATAAAACTTTGGCATTAAAGTGACACTTAACTATTAAATGATGTTTAATTAAAACTTTAATGAAATGAGGTTTATCTTTTATGTTTTAATTGATGTCATGAAATTGTCTTAAAATTTTTTAAAAAGACTTGATGATTGTTCCATCTCCTTTTTATATGCTGTCATTCTCACACTTGCCCTACTATTTTAACACTTGTACTTTCTTTTTTTTAAATCTTGATGCATTTTTTTGCTAAAACGTCTTCAACAGCATATGTCAGTGGCAGCTTCGTAAATAGTTCATGGCCTGCAGGTTGTTGGTCATGTGACTCCGAAATTAACTGGAAGAGTACAAATCACAATACAGTTTGTTTAACATTTTTAAATATGAAAAAACAATGTAAAACTAAATATTTATAAAATTATTTTTATTTTTTATTTGTTTAACAAATAAAGTTTGCTTAAATTATATTCTATAAACAAATAATAATAGTTGAAAAAATATTTATTTGTTTAGAGAATAAAAGTAAACCAATATATATTTGTTCCTGTTTATTTGTTCAACAAATATACATTTCTTAAACAGTTATTATTTATTAAATGAATATAGGTTTACGAATATATTTGTACCCTACAAATAATTTAAACAATTAGTTTTTACAAACATTCCTTAACAAATAATTTAACCGAATATTCTCTAACGAATATTCATACATAGATACTTGATAAACGAATACTTGCTGCACTCTAGCTTAACTGCCCAAAGTTGTTATTCACCTCCTCAAGGCCGAGAAGGCCACTACAGACGAGGAGGCTACTTCATAGTGGTTATAACCATCTCTCAACTCTATAACTCCGAAACACGAACCTTGACGAACAAGGTCGCTGCGCGGAGAAACAAGTTGAGCGCGGTACTACCAGGGACGTGGTGGGGATCGAACTTTAATACAAATTAGAGATAATTAGCATAAAGATTGTTTTTTTCTAGAAAACTGTATAATAAAAACTTTAAAACTAAATTTAAAAAAATGCTTAAATGGTCTCCTTAAAATTTTAAAAATTTCATCAGAAAATAAACTCTTGGTTTCACAATTTGGAGAACCCAAATATTTTATATTTAAACAATATCATTAAAAGCTTTTTATAATTTGACAATAAAAACTTGTTACATTTAAAAACTTGTTAAATTTAAAAACTTGTTAAATTTAAAACATTTAAAAGCAAAAAAACAATTTTATAAATAAATAGCAATTAGTTTTTTCACTTTTTTTTTTGTATCAATAAAAAATGTAAAGTTTAGCAAAAACATTTGAAAAAAATTAATTTAAAAATTTTTCATAGTTCTAGCCTAAATATTAAAGTATTTCCTTATATACAAACTGATTTAAGTCCTGAAAAAATTATAAATCATAAAATCTTTTCATTTTTGTTAAACTTATATGAGTTATATTTTTTTATTCTTCTTTTTTGTTGCCTTGTATTTTATGCATGGACAAACAAGGCGTGTGACCGCACACCTTTTCTTGGAAGGCCTGAGGTAGTGCAGAAGAACTACTAGGTAGTGTAGGAGACTACCAGGCAGATAGTGTAGGTAGTATAGGAGAACTACCAGGTAGTGTAGAAGAATTTAAAAGATGTTTTTTTATGTTGTATCTTTTTTTAACATTTATAATACTTTTAATTTGTTTTGATCCAGTCTATTGTCTATTTTAATCTGTAGAATGAATTCTTTTTATTTTATTATGACTTTAACATATTTTGCTATAAAACTTTAATTTGGTTTAAAATACCTTATATATAATAGTGATATAGAAGGCACGTTTTATTATTTTATTTATTATCTAAGGGATTTTGAATAATAGTTCAAAAACTTACCTCATCATCTGTCAAGAATTTTTTGAGGTTTTCATCGTCTTTAAATACTTTGTGGTTTGCAATATCTTGAATAAATCTTAAACATATAATAGTTATTTGTAAAAACAAAAATTAAAATAATATCAAGTAAAAAATTTAAGAATGTAGTTTTTTTAAATTTTAGATCTAAAAACAAAAACTCTACTTATATTAAAAAATTCATAAAAAACTATTCATAATAAATTTATATTTATAAATTTTTTGAGGTATATAAAATATATTTAAAAAAAAAACTTAACTGATTTTTTTATTAAACACAAAAGCCAAGTCCAGCTTACTATAAACTAGTAACAAGACCTGGTATACTTATGAATATTATTTGAACATTAAGCATGAAAATATGAAATCAATTTTTGTATTTTCAGTTCATAATTCAAATCAAAGTGTTTAGATTGTTACTTAAAATCGGCAATTATGAATGTCATGTCGAATTTGAGTAATTGCTGAATTCATGTAACTTGCTGAACTTTTTTGCAGTTTAGATTTTAATACTTTGACTGACCATTAGAAAGAACATGCAGCTTAGTGTACATACATAGACTGATTGTAAGGGCGAACATGAAGTGGAGTGTACACACATCAATATATTGACAAAAAAGCTGTCGATTATGTGAATTCAGCATGTAATAAAAAGGTATTTTAACAACATAAAATAAAAATAAAATTTAATTTTAAAAATATATTTTCTTACTTCTCTAATCTTTTGCAGTCATGTGAGTAACCATCAGCCAATACTATATTTTAAACTAACAATTAAACATGACAACAATGGAATAATTATTAGTAGTATATTATAATAAAAATAATTTTATTATTACTATTGTTATTATTATTGTAATTGTTAATAATATTTTTACTATTATTAGTTAAAATAAATATAAGGTAAAATGTAATGTGTGTATATATATATATATATATATATATATATATATATATATATATATATATATATATATATATATATATATATATATATATATATATATATATATATATATATACACATATATATATACACACTTATATATATATATATATATATATATATACAAATATATATATACAAATATATATACATATATATATAATATATATATATATATATATATATATATATATATATATATATATATATATATATATATATATATATATATATATATATATATATATATATATATGTATATATATATATACATATATATATATACATATATATATATATATATATATATATATATATATATATATATATATATATATATATATATATATATATATATATATATGTATATATATATATACATATATATATATACATATATATATATATATATATATATATATATATATATATATATATATATATATATATATATATATATATATATATATATATGTATATATATATATACAACCCATAATATACAGATATATATATATATATATATATATAAACAACCCATAATATATATATATATATATAAACAACCCATAATATACAGATATATATATATATATATATATAGATATATATATATATATATATATATATATATATATATATATATATATATATATATATATATATATATATATATATATATATATATATATCTGTATATTATGGGTTGTTTAAAAAAAAAAATACTAATACACAAGAAGCCAAATTTTTCAAAACACAAATACACAAAAAGCCAAATTTGGGGCAAATATAAAAAAAATACAATTACTAAAAAAAATTCCAAAAATATTTCCATTTACCTTGTGCTTAAGCGGCAAAATACCCCGAAAGAAGATCCTAAATTGTTCCAAATTATTTGGCTTTGAGCACAAAGTAAATCTCAATATTATTTTTTCTAATGTGATCATAATAATAAACACCTTCGCGATAAGATTTTTCTTAAAAAAATATTTAAGCAATTTGTTGTTTTTTGTTGTTTTTTTTGTTCATTTTTTTTTCTTTTCTAATTTAGGATTTTTTTTATGGGCATTCTAAAAAAGTAATGTTTTGGTCTTTTTTAAGTTTTTTATTAGGGGTCATAAAGTGCATCATACTAAATTTATCTTTTAAATAGAACTATAATCTTTGCTCTCTTTCGCAGAGATTTTATTCAACGTAGAGCACTTTTGACTTTATATTACTTTAAATCTCTACATGGGAGCCAATGATATTTTAAAGTTATCTTTAATTTGATTTACTGAATGGATATAGTATATCACAGTAAATTTACCTTTAAACGAAATCAAAACAACCAGTTAAATTATTAAAGTATGTAACAGTTTCTCAACTATTAAATTTATTTAATATGGTCAAAGACTCTCAAAAATTAACCATATAAATGTATCTATCTATAACTTATATGTTATTAACACATAATATAAGCTTTTAAGTAAAAGATTTTTTAACAAGAATTTTGAATAGAATAGAAAAAAAGCGATACTATTTTTTAATATTTTATTTTAAGCAATATCAAGATCAAACATTTTCTATTAATATGCAAGTTATTTTAGGAATTTTATTTAAAAAGAAATTTTTGAACAAAAGAATTTTAGTCTTCTAAAATTCTCTTATTCGAATAATTTTGCGATTGAAACTTGAAATTGGAAAAATTAAAAAAATTTTAACACTTAATAATTATAAATTTAATTCAGCAGCATCCGTAATACCCAGTCTGTAATACCCAGCATACATGCTCACTATGCATAGCAAGAATCGTTGCTGGAATATATCTCACTTGATGGAATATGTCTTGCTATGCATATCGTTGGTGGAAGTTAAACTTATATCTACCTTCAGTATTTATATCAGATTTAGTGCAAGTGAGGAAAGGAAGAAAGATTTCTTTAAATCGTAAATGTTTTGAACATTTAATTATATTTTATTTCTTGAAAATAGTTTTAAAAGTAGAAACATTCTATTACAAACATTAAACCAGTGATTGAATAAGTTAAAATAAAAATTAAATTATAAAAAATTAAAATTAATAAATTGTTTTACTTTGTTAAGAGAAACTTTTTTCTAAAAAAAATAATTTAAGCATATGGGCAATAGGGTTATGACTTTTATTAGGAAACATTGAAAAAAAATTCAATTCTTTGCAGTTGTAAAAAAAGGTCACCCCGCAATTCAAATTACGTTTCGTCATTTATTTAATCTTGTTACTGCTACTACTAATACGTGTAGCTTTACTGCAAATCATTTAAAACTTGTATAGATTAGAAGTGTTTAGAACTTTAGAACATTTTGGAAAATAACAGAATATTTTAGAAGACTTTAGAACATTCTAGAACAATTTAAAACATTTATGGAACAATTTAGAACATTCTAGAACAATTTAAAATATTTTGGAACATTCTAGAACTATTTAGAACATTCTGAAATATTCTAGAACATTTTAGACTATATATAGCTGCTCATCTAATTTTATAGTTATTACAGAAGCAACACATGGAGTCGTACAAGCTAAGCGATAGTAGCATTCAGAAGAACAAAGTTGTCTGGACCAATTATCTGGTAAATTTTGAAGACTCTCATAAAAGAAGAAAAATTGTCCGATTTGGAAGAACATTTACTGGAAGAAAAGTGCAGAATGCCTCTCCAAAAGCAAATCGGACACTACCATTTCCTTGGACCAAAAATCAAAGGAAGAAAGTAGCAAATAGCAGAAATTTCCGATAGATGATAGAACCAAAAACCTATTCCAACATTTGAAGTTTTGTGAAAATTGATGACCGGAATATACCAAAATAAGTGTTTGCCTTGATTTTTAAACACTTTTTAAAACAAATTTTTTTTTAACTTATTGCCTGTTTAAACCGAAACCCTTAGTAGATGTATGTACACATCCTACATGTTCTACCTATTTAGTCAGTTGATGTATGTACACTCCCTTCTTGTTTTACATGTTTAAGTCAGACTTTTACATGTTTAAGATGTGTGTACACTTCGCAATTTTTATAATAAATAAAATTTTATAAACAATTTTATTTTTGATTGACAAAAATTATGGATATAACGCATTGACAACAATCATCAACATAACGCATAAAACTAGAGCTAAAAACTTTAAAATATAACATAAAAGTACACACAAAAACATTGGCGCTAAAGAGGAATCGATCCCGTGTCGCCAGGCGACAAGACAAAATTTAGGACCTCAAGACTACTAAAGTGCAAGTTAATTATAAATATATACTTAGTTTTTTACGATACGCAATTATTTAAAACATCAATATATTTTTGGGTCATCAATTTACACAAAACTTCAAACGTCGGAATAGGTTTTTGATTCTATCATCTACCGAAATTTCCAAAGTAGTCACGAAATTGTGGAAAAATAAACTGAATTTTCCTCATGTATCTGATCAAGTTTTACAAGCAAAGCTTGTTAAAATACTGAAATGTTATGATGAATGTGTCAAGCAGGGAAGCTAAGAATCCCTTGATGAAATTTTTGATATTACTAAAGTGGATGGAACATGGTTATCTTCCGAGGACAAGCAATTGTACCATCTCCAAGTAGAAAGCGAAGAAACAGTGAGATACTCTACAGGCCAAGCGACCAGTAAAGAAACAGTCCATCCCTCTAAAAGACAAAAACTTTTTAATGAGTCATCTAACTCATAATCTTACAATCTTGGTTTTAGTGATTCTGACTCTGAGGCTGACGACAGTGAATATAAAAACAATGAAAAAAAAGATGAGACAACTCCTACACCAAGCAGAAAACATCATAAAAGCAAAATTACAGTCAACTTAGTGACCTTCACAAGAGTATCAATAAACAAAGCTGCTAACATATGCAAGCAATTGGCTCGTAAGGGCATTGACATCCCAACTCCATGTCAGTCAGCTATTTACAAGTCAACAAACAAAGAGGCAATCAAGCTGAAGGAAGAAATGATTGAAAAGTTGCATATGGAAAGTTGGTCCTTAAACTTTGATGGCAAGCACATCGACAGAATGGACTATCAAGTGGTCGCCCTTAAAAATGAAAGAAGAGAAATCAAATTGGATGTCCTTGGCTTGGTAGATGGCAGGGCTTTAACTCTTGCACAAGGAATCTAAAGTCCTCAATGAATTTCACCTATGAAATTCAATATAGATGATTGTTGCAGATACCACCAGTGTTAACACTGGAAAAAAAGAATGGTGTTGTTGTAATATTACAATGAATGTTCACAGAGAAATGCATCAACAAACCTCACTTTATCAGTAGTCAACATCATGTTTTAGATAGAATCCTCTGTTTGGTGATGGAACTTGAAAGTAAAACACAATCGCGAAACACCAAATATCCATTTGTATCTCAACTGTTAAAGGAGTATGAACAACTAAAAACACAGTTTGATGGAACAGAAGTAATACTCGAAACATCAGGCTTAAGAGATGATATGAAATTTTTGTTTTATCTCACTGGAGTGTTCCGATTTTTTGAGGAAAAGAGACATTTTCCATTGATATGGTTTCAGAAAATCAAATTCAGCAATGTGAGGTGGAATTCCAGAGCTATACTAGCAATCCTGGCCTTCATTTTAATTCCTTAAAAAAGGACAGTTCTGCAGAGAGTATGTTGATTTATATTGTATGGCTGGGCAGACAATTGGTTTACAGACCAAATGTACAACGAAAACAACTTTAATAACTTGGCTGAAATACTGAGTCCATACAAAAAGGCTTTAAGCTCTTTGATCACCGGAAGCGAGAGCCATCCATACTACAGATACCCAG